TGGAATTCATTCCCTTTTCACTTATGCCTCTTAAAATTTGTTGTTTCCTTCAGAACTCAATTGAAACACCATCCTTAACCTGAAACATTTCTTGATTCCACCACCCCCTTGCTGCTACGGTTCTTCCCAATTTGCTATGTTTCTTTTGTATATATATTCTGTAAAAACATGTTGTCTTTTCTGAGCTAATGTGAGAAAACCTCCTTGAGGTCAGAAACTGTTTCATTTTCATCTTACTAACCTCAGCATCCAGCACAGTAGTAGTTATTTAATAAAGCTTATTGGTGACCAAACAACAAGGGTGGAGCCAAGATGATGGAGTAGAAGCAGGCACTCTCTTGAGCTTTCCCCTGAACCCTTCCAAATACTTGTAAAAAATGACGCAAAACAAATTCTAAAGCAGCAGAACCCACAAAAAGACAGAGTGAAACAAATTTCCAGCCCAAGACAACCTGGATAGTCGATGGGAAAGCTGTGTTGCGCCAGGTTGGGAGAGGAGCATAGTTCAGTGTGGACCGCTCCAGCAAAAACTGGAGCCCAGCAAACCCGAAGTAGGCCTTAGGAATAAAGGGGAGCTGTGGTAATTTCCAGACTTCTCAAGCCACCAACTCCAAAGACAACTTAAGAAGGTCAGTGGGTGTGAGAGGAGTATGGTCCAGCCCTGGTCCTAGTGCCGCCCCAGCGTGGCGGCCACAGCGGTAACAGCTGCTTTTGGAGCTCTCAGCCCACAGATGGTGGGGTGATTGAGCAGCTGATCAGAGGGGGTTCTCTTGCTTTGCCCATGCTTGGATATGGGTCCCAGTCCTGGGCTGGGGCGAGGAGGAGCACTGGCATAGCAGAGCTTGTGGCATCAGAGGAAAGGGAACCTTCTCTCATTTCCAGGGCAGAAAGGAGTGATTGTGGTCACTCACAGACCAGAGCACAGGCCAGGAGAGGTTGCAAACACCTCTCCTTAGAACATACCCCCTTGGAAGAACTGAAAACTTACAGGTCCCTAGAAGTAGCTCAGAAAACAGTTGCACAAAACTCTTGAAGCTTGGGACAGTACACCCTCAACGCTGGAAGCAGAGCCCTACTTGAACAAAGAGTTTAAAAGTCAAGCAATTGGCTGGGAAGATTAGGACACAGAGGAAAAAAAGTCAGACTATAGAATCCTACTTTGGTGACAAGGAAGATACAACCAGAAGAAGACAACAAAGTGAAAGCTCCTACATCCAAAGTCCCCAAGAAAAATAGGAAGTGGTCTCAGGCCATGGAAGAGCTCAAAAAGGATTTTGAAAATCAAGTAAGAGAAGTAGAGGAAAAATTGGGAAGAGAAATGAAACTGATGCAAGAAAATCATGAAAAATGAATCAACTGCTTGCTAAAGGAGACCCAAAAAAATGCTGAAGAAAATAACACCTTAAAAAAGTAGACTAGACCAAATGGCAAAAGAGGTCCAAAAAGCCAATGAGGAGAATGCCTTAAAAAGCAGATTTGGCCAGAAGAAAAAGGAGGTCCAAAAGCTCACTGAAGAAGGTAATGTCTTAAAAATTAAAATAGAACAAATGGAAGCTAATAACTCTATGAGAAATCAAGAAATTATAAAACAAAACAAAAAGAATGAAAAAAAATTGACAATGTGAAATATCTCATTGGAAAAAAAAAACTGACCTGGAAAATAGATCCAGGAAAGATAACTTAAAAATTATTGGACTACCTGAAAGCCATGATCAAAAAAAGAGCCTAAACCTCATCTGTCAAATTATCAAGAAAAACTGCCCTGATATTCTAGAATCAGAGAGTAAAATAGAAATTGAAAGAATCCACCAATCACCTCCTGAAAGAGATCCCCAAAGGAAAATTCCCAGGAATATTATAGCCAAATTCCAGAGTTCCCAGGTCACGGAGAAAATATTGCAAGCAGCCAGAAAGAAACAATTCAAGTATTGTGGAAACACAATCATGATAACACAAGAATTAGCAGCTTCTGTATTAAGGGATTAGAGGGCTTGGAATATGATATTCCAGAGGTCAAAGGAGCTAGGATTAAAACCAAGAATCACCTACCCAGCAAAACTGAGTGTAATCAATGAGGGGAAAAAATTGATATTCAATGATGTAGAGGAATTTAATGTATTCTTGAGAAGCCAGAGCTAAAAAGAAAAACTGACTTTCAAATACAAGTCTCAAGAGAAGCATGAAAAGGTAAACAGGAAAGAGAAATCATAAGGAACTTATTAAAGTTGAACTGTTTAAGTTCCTACATGGAAAGATGATATTTGTAACTCATGAGACCTTTCTCATTATTAATGTAGTTGGAGGGAATATATATAGACAGAGGGCACAGCATGAGTTGAATATGAAGGAATGATATCTAAAAAAGAAAATTAAGGGGTGAGAGAGGATTGTACTGGGAGAAGGAGAAAGAGAGGGGTAGAATGGGGTAAATTATCTCACATAAAAGAGGGACGAAAAAACTTTTACAGTGGAGGGGAAGATGGGGGAGGTGAGAGGGAATGAGTGAACTTTACTCTCATTGGATTTGGCTTAAGGAGGGAATAATATACACACCCAATTGGGTATGGAAATTTATCTTACCCTAAAGGAAAGTGGGGGGAAGGGGATAAGAGAGGGAGGAATAGAAGGGAGGGAAGATTGGGGGAGGGGGTGATCAAAAACAAACCCTTTTTTTTTTTTAAGTGAGGCAATTGGGGTTAAGTGACTTGCCTACAGTTACACAGTTAGGAAGTAGGAAGTATTATGTGTCTGAGGCCGGATTTGAACTCGGGTCCTTCTGACTCCAGGGTCAGTGCTCTATCTACTGCGCCACCTCGCTGCCCCAATAGCAAACACTTTTGAGGAGGGACAGGGACAAAGGAAAGAATAGAATAAATGGGGGCTGGGATAGGATGGAGGGAAATATAGTTAAGTCTTTCACAACATGACTGTTGTGGAGGTGTTTTGCATGACCACACATCTATGGCCTGTGTCAAATTGCTTGTCTTCTCAACGGGGTTGGGAGGAGGGAAGAGAATTTGGAACTTAAAGTTTGGAAATGAATGTTGGAAGTTGTTTCTGCATGCAACTGGGAAATAAGATACACAGGCAAAGGGGTATTGAAATCTATCTTACCGTACAGGAAAATAGAAGGGGAAGGGGATGGGGGGGCGCGGTAATAGAAGGGAGAACAGATTGGGTGAAATGGGAATCAGAATGCAGGCTGTCATGGGGTGGGGGGAAGGGAGGAATGGGGAGAAAATTTGGAACTCAAAATCTTGTGGAAGTAAATGTTGAAAACTAAAAATAAATAAATTGGAAAAAATGCATAAAATAAAATTTAAAAAAGACTGAACAACAACTAATTTATATTATATTCATTTACATAGCTATTCTCTCATACTAGATCATGAACTCCTCAAGGGCAGGGCACATATCTTATTTTTCTTTGCATTCCCAGGCACCTATAATCCTGTCTATCTTCATAGTAAGTGTTTTTAGAATGTTCATTGAATTTAAGTCCATACATTATTACCCATCATCCTTAATGTTCTGCATTTCTAGAAACCTGTAGGTTGCGAAAGGATGAACTTTTTAGGACCTTAAAAAAAATCAGTTGCACAAAATTCTTGAAGCTTGGGACAGTACACTGTCCACACTGGAAGCAGAGCCCTACTTTAACAAAGAGTTAAAAAGTCAAGCAATTGGCTAGGAAGATTAGGAAACAGAAGAAAAAAAGTCAGCCTATAGAATCCTACTTTGGTGACAAGGAAGTTCTTAGGTCATTTTATCTAGTGATCTTTGGGAAAACTTTTGTCTCTCAATTTTATACCAAAATTACCTTCATAAGGGAAATGAAATTTAAAAAAAAAATAAAGCTTATTGATTGGAGGGCCAATTGATTTGTTGATTTAAAGTTAGAAAGGGAGTTTGGAGGGCATTGAGATGCCAAGGAAGGTCCCCAGGCAGAGAGATAATGTAATAAGACATAATTGTAGGCAAGATTAATTTGGCAACAGTGTGAGGTTTGGATTAGAGCAGGAAGAGTAGAGCTGTAGGAAAATCTACCTAAAGGATATTTTACTAGTTCGGGTGGATGTTAATGAAGGCCTATACTGTCTTCATGTTAACTTGCAATGAGAGAGGAAGGCACAGATGTAAGAAAGAACCCATGTTTCCTGACTTGAAGTTCAGGGCTCTCTCCGATATCATTCTTCTCTCTGTACATCTCTGATGTACATTCTAGATTGAGTAGATTTTTGTGAAGCAGACTTTAACATTCTGAGGGAAGATGTGGTCTAATACCCAAACAGGTGACTTAGAGTATGTTTTTTATACAACCTGTTCCTAAATCTACTGTAAGCACAAATGATGAAATAGGTTAAATATTTAAAGTTAATGTGTATTTATCCTTGTAACTTTAATTGATGTTTAACAAAAATCAGCACCTTGTGCTGTTGAACAAGGCATTGTAGGCTTATGTATTTGTCATTTATTAAGACTACCTATGTTTCTTTTACGGATCCTTTGCTTGTCATGTTTGTATTGGTGCGATCATTTTACTTAGACTTTCATACAGTGTTCATTTTATAATTCAAATGCAAAAGAACACTAAAACACTTGGTTAAATGTATCTTTCCTTGAACTTAACTGTTAGGTTTTTAGTGTAAGGTCTGCGTAGTAGAGTGCTAGAGTAAAGCGTGTTCTGGGTTCATTGAGTCCAGGAAATCTGGACTCAGATTCCTGCTGAGACACTAGCTCTGTCAGCCTTGTCAGTCAGACAGGACACTGCACCTCTCTGTGTCCTATGCAGCTCCCTAGGATTGATTTACTTAGTCATAGGTTGAGTGTGATCCACTTTCTGATCTATATATCATTGGAGAAGGTTTCCATAAACAGTTCTCTAGATCTTAGGTTACTCCTGCATTTCCCATACTGTTAGCCTTTTTTGTTATTTGGTAGTATTCTATTTGGAATGTACACATTTTAAAATGTTTCCTTCTCTCTTCCTTTCTCTTAAGTTCCTCTCTTGTCCTGGGGACCCAGCTTTAACTTTAGCATCTGGTATGTTGAACTTAATGGCATTGATGATCCCGATGTTGTGCAACCCTGTCTCAACTGGTATAGCAAGGTAGGACTTAATTTAAAACCCTTTTATTGCATTTCCAAAGCCCTGTAAGTTACTGGTCAATAAAGAAATATTTATTGAGAATTATATACATTTGACCCTGAAGATTTACCCAGAAGACTACTATTATCATTACCAAACCATCTAACTCTAACAGGATATAAAATATATATTGATTCTAGAAAAATGTATTTAATACAAAATGTATAAGCTTGTTGTTCTTGAGAAGCAATATGGTACAAAGTAGAATTACTAGTCAGTAAACATTTCTCAAGCTCCTACTACGTTCCAGGTACTGTACTAAATATTGAGAATACAAATAAGAAAAAGATAACCTCTGCCCTCTAAGAGCTTACATTCTAAGGAGGGAATACAATTTTCAAAAGGGAATAGAAAAATAGGGAGTGGGTATGGAACAGGGATAGTATTGATGTCTAGAAAGTCTGAAGCCGAGCTGATTAGGGAATGAAGTTTGGGTGGCCTTGGTCCCTTCCAAAAATGAAGACCCCAGGCAGAACTCACCAGTGGGAGAAGGAGGATGGCATAGCATGTGTTCCGGGGTGAGGAGTCTGAAGGGGCAGATAAAATGAACAACACTTATACATGGCTCAAATTGGGAGAAGGTGGTTTTTACATAGTACTGAACTGGTACTCTGAAAGGTTAGGCTTTTATTTTATTAAATAGAATCATTATTATATATTATATCTTGTTATGTCATGTAATATATTATAATTTGGAAATACTTTATTTTTATTTCTTATTGGACCTCATTTGACACTGCTTCTAACACTTTAGCTTCCCTCTTCTTTACTCTCCTTTCCTACCATGGCAAATGATATATAAACATTCAGATGTAGTACAGGATAATAATAACAATAATATTTATATAATGCTTTAAAGTTACAGAGCACTTTCTCAATATTATACCATTTTTATCTTTAAAAAAATCCCTGGGAAGTAGGCACTATTATTATACCTTTTACAAATGAGGAAACTGAGGCTGACAGAAGTTAAGTGACTTGCTTAGAGTCACAAAGCTAGTAAGTATCTGCCACTGGATTTGAACTCAGGACTTCTTGACTCCAAGCCCAGTGCTCCGTCTACCTAGTTACCCATTTTTTATAAAGTTAATATTTTAAAAGTACAAAATAATTGTTTATTTTTTTAACTTAATAGAATTTTCATATGTACTAGGTTTTCTTAAAGCTATTTTGTCCAGTCTTTCAATAGCTGCTATTCAATACCCCAACAGAAAGGAAAAGATCTCTTTCCCCCCTCAATAAAAATAATCAAATATGCCCTAGTTACATTGTTACATTAAGATCAATATTCAGTACAGTTTCTGGAGATTTGATTTCCTGTTTCCTTCTGCACTCAGACCTCCCTACCTGGTTTGTTTGCCAACCCAATAATATTTAACCATTAAAAACTAAACCACCTTTCTTTTCTGAGATCCAGATTGATAGGTCCTAGGGAAGTCAGTATATGTGTGTGTGTGTGTGTGTGTGTGTGTGTGTGTGTATATAGATATATACATACACATATATGTATATATACATACACATATAGATATATGTTTTATATTCTTGTAGACCTTGCTTCCCTTATGACCTTCTGTTTACTCAGTAAAGGAAATAATCTGTGCTTAGGTCTGTATGACGATAGAAATAAATCTTTTTCAGTTAAGTGTGTAGCTCTCCTTTATATCAATTTTGCCTATGGCAATAAGAGTTTAAGAAATAATCACGTTAGAGGGTTCTACTGTACGCATGGGTTATATGGAGTGTTCAAGGAGGACTAGCATCTCCAGTGTAAGAGCTTGCTGAGTCCTTTGCAGAGCTGCTCATCCACTTTAGGTGGCACTCAGCTTTTATCTGTGACTTCAAGCTGTAACATGTGCAGCAGTTACCCCTTGGTAAACCATCTCAGATGGGCCTCAGACTTGTTAGTGAGTTAGTGAGATATCTACCCCAAGCATGTGAAGACTTTCCTCAGTGGAGTGGGCAGATGAGAACAGTTTGTGCCAGTGGCCATGAAGGAGGCTGAAGTAGGCACTGTGGAGTGCTCGGCACTTGATCAGACATTGAAGATGTCAAGGTCATCTGCTGCATCCTGGGCCATTGCCATTCAACCTGACTTATGTCTTGCCACTGGACTGATTCAGTGACTCTGGAAGAAGTGAGACTGATGGCTTTCTGCAACTCTACCTCACTTATATCCAGTTCACACATGAGTTAAGACATCAACCTGTGTTGTCATTGATCCTCTTTGAAAATAAAGAACAAACAACAACAATTAACTTCTGTATTCAGATATTCCAGGGTACTTCTTATAACGGTCACTTGAAGTGTGACTTAGTTAACTGGAAAGGAAATTCATTGGTAGTATATTTGAATTGTAAATTTGCCCTTAACTTGCTTTGTAGCCTTGAGCCAGTCACTAATATGCTTGTTTTCCTTGTGGCATATTCATAAGAGTGCCTGAAAAGTCAAGGCTGATATATAATTCCTAGGTTGAAAAATGTTATTTATAAGGGATGGGGAAGCATAGCATTTTTTCCTATAAGCTTTTACCTGTAGAATTTTTTGTTGTCTCCTAAAGCAGGTCACTTTTTTGGCTCTGTATATTTTGATTCTTGATGACCTGCAGTTTAGGACTTGATTAATATGCTTATTAGGCAACTAGGTGGCACTGTGGATAGAGCTTTGGGTCTGGATTTAGGAAGATCTGAGTTCAAATTTGGCCTCAGACATTTACTGACTGTGACCCTGGGCAAGGCACTTAACCCTGTTTGCCTCAGGTTCCTCATCTGTTAGATGAGTTGGAGAAGGAAATGGCAAACTTAACTAGTATCTCTGCTGAGAAAACTCCAAGTGCGGTCATAAAGAGTTGGACACAACTGAAAACAACTGAATAATATACTTACCATGCATTGTTCTCTGTTTATATAAGTTTTGTCCCCTCCATTAGACTGTTAAGTTCCTTGAGGATATATATATTTTTTATGTGTCCTGTGTTCCTTAGTTTAGTGCCAACTGTAGAGTAGCTGTTCAATAAATACTTGTGTAGGCTCATTTCACACTCCGGCAAAGTTATGCTTAAAGTTGTGCAAGGTAGGCTTCAGCATTATGTGAACTAAGAATTACCCGAGGAGCAGGCTAGTTTTCAAAGAGGTGGGGGAACTGGAGACCAGATTGCCAACATTCACTGGATTTTGGAGAAACAAGGGAGGTCCTGAAATGCATTTACTGCCTCATTGACTACACTAAAGTCTTTGACTGTGGATCACACCAAATTTGGCAAGTCTTCAGAGAGATGATAGTACCAGATCATCTTACTTTTCTCCTGAGGAGGAACCTGCACGTGGAACAAGAAGCAACATTTAGAACTGAACATGGAACAACTGATTGGTTTAAGATTGGAAAAGGAGTACAAGGCTGTATATTGTCACTTTTATTTGTTTAACTTACATGCGAGTACATCTTGTGAAATGCCAGGTTGGATGAATTGAAAGCCAGAATTGTGGTTTTGGGGAGAAATATCAGGGCAGGTGCAGTGTCTTAAATAAACACTTTTAAAATGTTTCGCAAATTCAGGTAACTAAATTTTCATAGAAATAATAGTTGAAGTCATAGGAGTAGATGAAAGAGAAAATGGAGAAAATTTAGAAAGAGAAAAGGGCTAACGGCAGAGTCTTGTGACCTTTTTGTCTTGTTCTATCTTGATCCTTGTTGGGCAAATCTTTTTCAAAAGTTTAAGTGATATTCCTGCCTCACTAAATATAGGATGGCAGTTGAGAGTTTCTCCTTCAAATCTTGTGATGCTTTTATTGTCATCATTCTTATATAGTATGGTAACTTTAGAAAGTGTAGGAATTGTGTTTTTGGCTTTGACATCCCTTTCTTATATTCTAAAGGGAATTTCTGCTGGAAAAATCAGTTATTTAATATCCTTTGTTGAGGAGCAAGACATGGCTGGTAAATTGGGGTTTTATTATACTATCCTTTTGTAGGGACAGAGAAACTGAATAGGTCACACAGTTGATACTTATGTTACCTGATTTGCAATCTACTATTCTATATGTGTGGAGGTGGGAGTATGTAAATGTCTGGTAATAACTATTGTTTTACTGAAATATGAGAGCTATTATGTAATATTTCTTGAGCAGCAAACACATTAAGCATCATGACCTACTTCACCTTCAGAGTATAATGAGGTTAGTTCCTCAGTGTCCCATGTTTATACTTATTCTTATGTAATCCTTACATTTATTTTCTTTTAGTGGAAAGGACTCATTTTTTCTTCCAAAGTGTGTAGTACTGTAAATGTTCACTGGCATACTTGTACATATAATTTCAAATAGTTATAGAAATGATTACTTACATTACTTATGTATTACTTTCCCTTATCATGATGATTGTCATATGCTTGGACAAAAAAGTTAATGGCTTTTGGCATTTATGTAGAAAGTTGTATATATTTTAGGAATATGTGCAGGGGGAATTAATACTTTGCTATTGTTAGTAATAGTTTTCCTGGCTTTTAAATTGGTATTTTGCATCACTAACAGTTGCAGCAAAGCAAATCTCTCCTCCTTTTAATTTCTCTTGTGTTCTAGTAGTACCGTGAACAGGAAGCTATTCGCCTTTGTCTAAAACATTTCCGTCAGCACAACTACACTGAAGCTTTTGAATCACTACAGAAAAAAACCAAGATTGCACTGGAACATCCCATGTTAACTGATCTGCATGACAAACTGGTGTTGAAGGGTGATTTTGATGCTTGTGAAGAGTTGATTGAAAAAGCTGTAAATGGTAAGATATTTAGAATATAATTTTAGATTTGCTTTTGGAAAAGGGAACCTCATACTATGTGTGTGGAAAATTAATTCTGCTGTTTATATTGACAGTATGATGCTTAAATGTTTACATCTTATTCTCTTAATAAAGTAGTAACTCTTTTGAGGACAGGAGGTCTTACTATAAGGTTCAAACATACTATATTTTACATATTCAAATGAATATTGTACTCAGTAAGAACTAGGATAGGCATCTTGAGAGGATACACGTTAATTTCAATAATGCTGCCCTCAGCATCTTTATTTTCAGTAACATCCAGTTGAAATTTAACATTTTCCTTAATTATTAAAGAATCACCAGACTACCAAAAAAAGGTCCATGGCACCCCCCCCAAAAAAAAGCCCGATGAACTGTATTTTTGGTTTAAAAAAAAGTTTTATCATTAGTGAGGTTTTGTTTAATGAATTATATGATTTTCTTGTCTAGTTTACAAGGTGATTTGGAAAAGAATCTAAAACAAAATGTTTTTAAAATGTTAACAGAAATATTAGTACAATTATAGTAAATATATTGCCTTATAAGATAATTACTTTGAAAAGAATGTATAAGTTCTCATATATTTATTTGAAAACCAGTCTCGTTACTTCATAACCAAACCATACAGTGATGTAGTAGATAAAATACTGATCTTGTAGTCAGAAGACCTTGATTCAGGCCCTTGCTTTGTCATTGCTTTGTGACCCTGGGCAAGATTTTTAACCTCCTATTCCTATTTCTTCATCTATAAATGAAGAAACAGACATATATTAAAAACTCACTTTAAAGTTTATATATTCTCATATAAACGTGAACTGTTATTACCCCACTCTAGTGCCTAAAGCAGTGCTCAAAGATATGAGGCACTCAGAAAATAGTTGTATTGTCTTGTGTGTATTTAAATACTTTATCAAACGTTGACCTTTCACAATTTTATAAGACAGAATGTCAATACCATCATTTTACAGAAGAGCAAATTAAGGAAAATTTATTTAGCCTGGTAGTTAATGATCCTTTGTTGAGTTGAAGTGACCTGGGGCAGCTGGACCTTCAGTTTCCTTACTGAAATGTTCAAGACAGAGTCTTTATCACCATGTATTATTGAGCACTCACCTATATGAGACATCAGGTGGAATGCTATACAACCAAATACAATGAACTGACTACCTTCTAACATCTTTTGATACATTTTAAATTTTACTTAATTTCCAAAGAACAACTTTCAGCTCTGCACAAAAACATAGAGGTAGAGTAAAATTTGGAGTACAATGGGAACATTCCATCATAAAAATCACTAAGCTATCAAAGCATGACAAGAATTTAAGGAGTATATAGCATGCCTTTAACTAGAGATATGTAGGGATTTAATATTTTTCTTTTTTCACTTAATCATTTATTAAACACCTGTGTACAATCTATTACTTAGCACTAGGATAGTTACAAAGCTGTTGTTTAGATATGGTTCCTGTCTTTTAAAAATTATTATTTGAGTTCATTTATTTTTAAGTTGTTATGAGAAAAGGAGGAAATCCATAATTGCTAGTGGTTGTACTTAATTACTAAGCTGAACACAGTTACTATTGATACTTGCATTTTTTATATCGATTTTTCAAATGCATTCATTTAAGTTTTTCATGTAGAGCAAGCCGGTCAGGAGGCTTGGTTCATATAATCTGGTAATAAAGAGTCAGGAAATCACTAAAAACCCATTATTCACAGTTCAGAGTTTCTGCAATAAACTTGTTCTTCTTGCTCTTGAAGAGCAAAAATCTTGAGGGAAATTGGGAGCAACTATTTTCGTGAGACATATTCAAGGCATATTTTATATTGCTTTGGGTTCTCCTCAGCTGGCTCTGCAGAAGTGTCTCGTTAACAAACGTTCCTTCCAAGGTTGTCCACATTTCTGCTTACTTCATTGATGATGCAGTTGGACAAATAAGGAAGTAAATAGCGGTCCTTTTGGCTTCTGCTCATATTAAAAGCATAGTGGGAGAGTACAGAAAGGCCAAGTCTGCTAAATGGGAAAGACTTAATTACAGAAAGCATTTCCAATTTCAAATTTTTTTGTGGAATGGAAAACAAATATCTGCTGTTTAAGATATTGTTCCAGTGCCTCCATTTAAATAGAGTCCATATTTAAGGGCTATAGATCTGCATTGCACTTTTTTTTTCCTAATAGGATTCTTAGTATTGTGGGAGTAGTTTCTGAACTTACATTCCATTGGATTACTGAGTATTCCTGAGGTAGTAGTTGCTACCTCTTATACAGTATCGCTAGGGAAAAAGCAATGCCCAGTAGCCTTCAAAGACAAAACTGACCAGCTGGAGATTGGAATGTGACTTCCAAAACAGAGAAGAATCATATTAAAACCTCAGGCAGGGCTATTTTTATATATCAGAGAAGAGAATCCACACACCCACACCCCCACACCCACATATACATCATTTATGAGAGAAGGGAGCTGAGTTTAAATCTCTGAATTCTTAAAGTCTCAGTTTGAAACACACTGACAGACAGACTAAATATTTGTGTTTTCCTTTACTTTCAATTTCCTTCTGTCTGTGTGACTTTCTTGTATTTTTAACCTGTATAGCTTTACTCTCCTTCAGTCATTATGTTGACTTACAATGCTTTTCAGGAGTACACATTATAAATGAGACCAATTTTTCCTTTCATTCAGCAAACATTTATCAAATGCTGCTGCATTCTCATAGATGGAAGATGGAGATCAAATAATACCCCCTTACCTTTGTGTAGCATTTTACAGTTTACAGTGCACTTTGATGTATTTCATTTCATTTGTAAACTGTCAAACACTAAATAAATGTTGACTATTATAAGAGCATGCCCTTGTGAGGGAGGCACAGCGAGTTGTGATGCAGTGTTAGGACAGAGGAGGAAAATGGGGTTCAGTGAGACGGTAGCTGGCAGAGTGTGGGCCTGTACTTTGGTCTGCTGCTTCCAGCAACTTGCTCTAAGTGCAGTAGTCCGCTAATGTTTAGTTCTTCTACTGTTACAGTATGACCTGATCGTAATCATACCAAATAAAGGATTCCCATTCAACAGTAAATCCTATTAAAATATTCTACTTGACTGTCTTTATTATGAGCACTTAACATTTAGAATTTTAGAGCTGGAAGGACCTTAAATTATATCTCTTCTCAACTTCATCCCTGTCATTTTACACATAAAGACACTTGAAGTTTGAAAAAGTGAAATGACCAAGATCACCCTCCAGCTTAGTGTCAGAGCCTAAATTAGACCCCAGTTCTTTATTGGAACATTAGCAGGGAAGAAAGGTTATTATCACCACAGGCTTATTTTTTTTGAATTGAGGAGCTTCAAAATATTTCTCATAGAATTATCAAAATAGACACATAGAGGAAAGGCCAAAAGGTAAATGCAATAAGTATTGAGGAAGCTATTGAGTGTGTACTTGTGTGCTGTCTTTGAGCATTTCATTAGAATAGTAAACAGTATTTCCCAACGGATGAGTTAGAAAGGCTCATCAGAGGACATAGAGGAGGCTAATTGTGTGAAGCTGTGTGTGCTTTTGTGGGGCATGATCATTGTCATTTCACATTTGTTGTAATGTTGTGGTGTTGACTCCTCATTCTTAATTGGTGCTGTTAGTCAGTGGGAAAGATTTTGTGTGACCGTCACATTATTGTTCTGGAGCAGGGGAAGGTTCTTAACCTTTTTTGTGTGCCATGGACTTTTTGGATAGTCTTATGAATCCTGTGAACACTTTTTAGGAGCAGTATTTTTAAATGCATAAAATATAATAGATATGATCACAAACCAATTATGTTGAACTACAGTTATCAAAAGGTAGCTAGGTCGCTTAGTAGATAGAGTGCTAGAGTCAGGAAGACCTGAGTTCAGATCCAGACTCAGACAACTTACTAGCTGTGTGACCCTGGGCAAGTCTCTTAACTCTGTTTGCCTTAATCTACTGGAGAAGGAAATGGCAAGGCACTCCAGTATCTTTGCCAAGAAAACCCCATGGATTGTGTTGTCCATGAGGTCATGAAGAGTTGGTCATGAAGAGTTGGACACGACTGAACAACAACAACACAATTATCAAAATGTTAAGCAGATTCATGGATGGACTCCAGGTTAAGATCCCTTATTTGAGAGTATGATCTAAAAAAAAAAATTTAGCATTTGGTTATCTAATTCTTATTTATTGTGTTGGTCCAAATATCGGTTATATTTGTAAAAGAAGCTCTCTGAAAGGAAAAATTTTATGTAGGTATATACTGAAAAGTAATGACACAAAATAGTTTCCATATAGTGAGCAGTATGGCATTTCTTTAAATTAAAATACAAGTATTTTATTCATTTTTGTCTTTATAGCTGTCTTCACATTTTCATTGGCATTTTTTCTTCCTGACTTAAACATAGTATGTATTGTCTATTACTTAAAGCAGGGGTGGGCAAATTCCAATTTGCTGTTTTTGTATGCCAACAAGCTCAGAATGGGTTTTTTGCAATTTTAAAAATAATAAAACTTTATTTAAAAATGTAAGAACCATTCTGAGCTCACAGATCTACCACTGTCTTAGAGAATAATTACAGGTTTCTGATTTTATACACCATAAATGTAGGAAATCAGAGTGTCATAAATTGGGGAGAGTAGGACAAATGGTTAGATCCTGCACGTGAAGACATGAGAAGACGTTGGGATCCTGCTGCAGTTTTTGTGAACTGTAGGCTATAAAGTAGGTAACCAGTTTGTAGTTTGTTCAAGCTGTTTCTTATCATCTCCCACTGGGTTTTTTTTTTTTTTTGGTGACTTTTTTTTTTTATTGTTTTGTCATTTGCAACTCTCAGAAATGAAGGGAGACCAGCCTCGTTTTGTTAATTTTAATAACTGATAGTTATTTGTTAGACAAGGAAGTTATGATTTAATTTATAAAGGCTGTTCTCATTCATGGTACTATTGACAAACAAGTTATCTAATTTTCATTTTTAT